AAAAAAAAAAAAAAAAACATAAGGATACTCATTTTATGCATAAAAACAAGAAACACATTCTGATTTATTTTACTTGTACTCTTATTCATTTTCATTCCTTAATTATTACTGTTTAAAATTTAATTTTGTTATTTTGGCAACTTTTTATATCTGTCGACGGAGATTTTTAAGCAAAAAAGACTGTATTTTACATAATGTACACAATTGATTTGAATATTCATTGATATTGAAATTATTCTTCCTACAAGCTCTCACTCAAATTCTCATTTTTCTCTCTGCAGTTGTGCACGGATCATTAATTATTTTTATTTTTTTTTCTGAGAAAGGGCAAAAATGAAAATTGACTACCTCCTTAAAAAAGAAAGTGTAATATGATATTTCCCTATGAAATTAGGAGATGAAAACAACATACCTATTGTTCGGGAAAAAGATTGCAACCTTTTCTGTTTCCTATGAGTTACAGAATGTGTAAGAAGACATGATAAGTTTATCTACTGTTAAGAGTAAAATCGCAAGTCGCGTGAATACGAAAATATAATAAGAAAATAAGGGCTTAGGTTACTCTCCTTAATAAGGTTCACCTCTTGAGATTGAAAACCAAGACCCCATGATCTTTTTATTGCTTTTTCTTCTTCATCTTTTAAGTTAATGCATTGTGTTAATTACATGCATGTCAAGTGGTAAGACTCACTATGTTCCCTCGAATTAGGTGTGCTTTTGCTTTTAAATCAATAATATTCCCTCGTACGATTAAATTTCACTTAAAAAGTTGATACTAGCCCCCCCTATTGTTGAATCCTGGCTATGTCCCTCGGTGAACGACACTATTGTTTCATACCTAGCAAATAGGTAGCAATGCAACAACAAAGATTGAAATACACAGCAGGTATGGTGAACTGAACATAAAGTTTTGGCCACATGGGCAACATGTAGTACTAATCTACATATCAATCTACAGAATATAAACAATGGATAGTGGAGACGTATTTTAATTCATTCGAATGAAGATTATACCTCCGGATGCCACTGAACAGCAGTCACTGGATATCTGTGTGCCTTAACTGTAGAGACATAGACCTGAAATAAATGAATTGGAAGTAATGAAAATGCACTCAAAATTTGCATACTAGATGACTGTAATGAGAATTTGAAATTAATTTTCTATAGAAGTGGTCAGATTTATACCTTGTTATCAGTATCTTCACTGGTTGTCAAGATCTCAAAGAAACTACATAAATTCTCATTTTTTAGAAATTTTTCTGGTGATATTCCATACTGATTCACAAGAAAATCAATAGTCAGACATATTCTTTGGGCAGGTGCAAAATAACTTGTTGAAAACATCTAATACATAACCCCCATAGTGATTTCAAAGTTGAAACAAAACATAAAACCATAGCCTGTAAGTAGAATTCATGTACTACAATTACAACTAATTAAGTTGCTTCTCATAACTAATTTATTAAAAGCAACAGAATTATCTAGGACTGGAATCATTTAGCAAAATAGCAGTCAATATATTTTCTTCCTCTGCAGCATCTGATGGTAATCAAACAGACAACAATTCAATTCACTCCAATAAAGCTAGAAACCATACCATTCACTTTATTCAACTTGGTCCTTGATATGTGGAAATCATATACCCAGCAGATAGTGCTCAAGATTGAATTATTAGAGGATTACAGATTTGGTTCATCCAGACTACTATCTCTGAGAAGGTACACCGAAAACTCTTTAAGTTACAAAAGAACACAAAACAACAACAAAACAAACCTAATTCTAAACTTGAGGCAGCTACACGAAGAAGAGGAAAAGTGCCGCGTTTGCTACTTGATAAATCCATTTGATTGGTATTTTCTCTTCACCATTCCGGCATGATCACAAAAGCTATGGTTGACAAGGCCATTCGATTTTTCATAAGCCTCATATGGGTTTACACGATTACTATATTTTTAAGCAGCTTAGGTGTGGGCTCATTTATCTTAAACACACCATCAAGTGGCCAAATGACTGGAAGGGTGCAAGTTTAAGAGCCGTCCAGAGAAGAGTTTTAGTAACTAACTGTCATGAGGGAGCTCAATGTGAAAGAAAGGAAGCAGATCAATCAAAAAAGAAGAAGAAGAAAGCAAGCCAGAAGTCAGGGAAGAAGAAGAACCAACGGGAAACTAACCTTTAAAATTGGAACGGTGTCGTTTCATCATGAAGTGAGACGGTGTCGTTTAGCATTTAAGGAAAACGTTTTTTGTAATTCAATTCTGAATATACGACTTTTGCCTGCCTTGTATAAATCTGCCTCCATGTGCGATGAGGTAGGTCAGTCTGTGATTTTTGTATGTCGAATTCTGGTATGAAATTTCAGTTAATTGTGAATTGATTCTTCAATTCCTTTTATCTCTCATCACTTCTCAGTTTTACAACCTTTTTCCCTACCCCAATTTCTTTTTTTCTTCATTTAATTGGTTTAACTCTCAGCTGACTTCAGCTGAGATCAGTTTCCGACGAGTTACGGTTAAGGAGGAGCTGAATTTGGAGTCCAGACCGTGACACTAACACAGTCTAAAATACCAAAATTATACAGTACATCACAACTATTCCTTTTTGTTTTCTAGGACAAATGAGACAAAAAGTTAGCACTTAAATGAAATTATATCCAAGAGGGCACTGTTGGTCCTGTGGGAACTCATGACAGCAGCCATCAAGAAAAGGACACTACAGATTCAAAACTGAAAATAAGTCAAAATTTTCATCACACATTACCATGAAAAGGAAAACCCACTTACATGATGATTTTGCATTACAAGGCAATCAGTACTCAGCTTCTTTAGCAAGGCTGGAGGAAACCTACAAACAAAATAAGAAAGATCTTTGATTCACAACTCCAGCAACTAATAGGGTGGTTTAATGAAAACAAATAATTAGTCAGAGTGGCCAGGACCACAGTAAAATAGATCAGACCAGAAACTAGAATATCTAAAATGGTAGGAAAAGAAGAGAGGCTTGCAAAATTAGAACCTCTGAACACACCAGTGAAGAACCCAAAATAGCTGAATTGATCACACTCATGCAAAAACTAAGGAAAAAATGCTAATGTAGTTATAGTTATTCAAACCCTTACGACATTCGAAAAAAGAAATCCATACTCAAATGAATGCCAGTAATTATCCAAAGGTCAACAATTAGCAAGAGAAATGATTGTCAGATTAAATCACAAACATACCCACAGCAAAGGAAGCAAATAAGTTAAAAGTCAAATAGTATGTTCTACATTTAGAACATGTTTGGAAAGTATTTATAAACGATTTAAATTATAAATATATAAAAATTAGTGATGGATAGTGGGTAGGTAATTGTGGGTCCCTCGAAATACATGGGTAAAAAGTGGATAGAGTGTTTATAAATAGTTTATAAACATGAGCCAAATATAGGCTTATTTTGATATATGACTTCCCTTAGTTTTCAATCTAACTAACATTTATAAAGAAATAGAATAATAATTTTCTGTCCATTCTTAGTTTTCAAATCTCTTAAATTTTTAAACCTAAAACTATACAAAGCACATTCAGGACTCAGGGTTTTACTCCAACAGTGTGTTTGCTGATTGCCAGCATTTTTAGATCCATATTTCGAAAAAAAATGGCATCCTAGTAGTATTTTGATAGTATTAGTCTTTACGTAGCTCGTCTAATTTGCACAAGGTGAACCATTTCTACAATTAAATTTTCTACAAATCAACTGAGTGGACCAGCAGTAAACCCTGATCAAAACCCCATAAGCTATGGGCCAGGGCCAAGACTAATAGGTCTTAGGGTCTTGGCATGACCCATCAAATTTTCAGCCCAGTTGACAAAGGAGCAGACATGAGATCAAAGATTCATTTTTGTTTCCAAAAATCACTAAGTTCAGTATTTGAATGAATGGGAAACAAAATTAGGGACTAAAATGGTGAACATTGATACTGATGAGACTAATTAGGAATTATTATATACTTCAGGTACAGCAGATGCAATGCGCCTCAACAAATGATTCAAAGTACAAGTTAAAGGTTTGGCAAAATTAAATTTCACATCATTCAAATGAATTATGGGCAGTAAGTCAGACCACGATTGAAATGATAGTATAGTTTTTTATCAAATTAACTGTGATAATTAATACCTCTGAAATACAGTTCCATTAACATCTATGTTTCTCATGAATTGCAATGTAGAAGCTTGATCTGCTGCATTAAATTTTTCCAGTACGTTGTTGTCCTGTTACCAATAATATAAACAAAAGTGTTATCAACCTGTGGAAGCACGTTAAATTAATTTTATGGGAAAGGGAAAATAATACAAGGAAAATATTATAGTTCAACAGACAAAAGGCATCACTAAAAAGTGAACTTCAAGATACTTAAGTGTTATTTGAATAATTGAATGGCATGTATTAAAGACATGAAGAAGCAATTAGGTGCACTATGGTTGCTTGTGATTGTTATAAACCATGATTTTTTGATAAGCATAAGGATGACAAAATTTTGTTCCACCATATTATGTATTCGAAAAATATCTCGTTATTTTCCACAAAATCATTTGTTAGTAACAAATCTACCACTTAGCATAGACAACCAACCATTGACATCGTTTCAAGACAACCAGCTAAGGCAAACAAGTTTTTGCAATTTTCTAAAGAAAAACCAACTGCCTTCAACTCTCTCTCTCTCTCTCTCTCTCTCTCACGCGTCATTATTCATGCATATCTCCACGCAGCTTACCTGGCTGACAGCCATTGTTAATAATTCAAATCCTAAGCAGATGGCAAGCAAAGGGAAATGATCTCCCGCATCATTCTTGCTCAAAACATTCTGCATGAAACAGGTTGAAGGCAGTCATACCTACATGCCTATAAATTATATAGGAGAAGGCAATGTCACAAGAGCGCATTATTTCTTGTTTTGTCTGCACATGGTAGGGCAAGAATGGCTTGGAGAAAAGGATGTCGATTTCACAATAGAGCATGAGATGGCAATGTACCTTAAAAATTGACTCGACAACCTCGAAGTAGAGACCACTCTTAGCCCATCCTCCAGTGAAGAGCATTCCATTAACCAAATTTAGTTTCTGCAATATAATTTGTAAAATTGACAGGAGGAAAAAAAATATAGCATTATATTTAAAGATGGAAAGTTTTACTGGTCAATTACTATTGCATTGCAATTTCATAAATCTAAAATTGTAGCTGCCTAGTGAATCATCAATATCAAAATAATTAATCGCTTTTTTACTCTGCACAGTGAACACCTTCTAGGACAAATCTATCCTCATTCCAGAAGAATCAACATATTTCAACAGAAGATTCGTGAACTAAATGCTGAGAAGCACCAAGAGATAAAAGGTAGAAAGACTGAGTAGATATACAAAACTGATATATCTGAAGGGCTTTAGACGAGCACTAGCACAAAACCTCTTAATCAACACAAAAGAAAACCCAAATATCTAGTAGTTGTTCCCTTCAGAAAATACCCTAATTCACCTTTCTTCTAATTTTGCATGTCTGCTAGTGGTTTTTTTTTATTTACTCACAATCTAGAAACTAATTAGGCAAAAAAATTTAAAGGTTTTCGACGGTAAATTTTGTCTGCCTAATAAAATTTATATTTCATTTGGGTTAGTATGACTAAATATATCGATCAAAAGGAAATGGCATAGAACCGATTTCTCTCTTTTCCTCTATTAGCAAAACAAAATCAAATCTAAAAGTTTTTCAAATAGCATTTGAATGATATTTTTTATAATGAACCTAAAGGAGACTAATAATGTACATTTTACTTCGTATCATCTTTCTCATTTTGGATTCAAAATCTACCATTAGAAGTCCAAATAGAGCTTAACGGAAGAAAAATTAATCTCTGGAAACAGATAAAATGTATTTTCAACTTCTAGTCTTAATTCTAGAAGCAAAGCAAAAAAATATAAAAAACAAAAAGAAAAGAAATTAGAAAATGGATATGCCAGTAGACCCAAGTTTTGAACTTCTCTTATTTCCTGTGTAGAAGAGCTATTATAATATATATTTTTCTTACTATCTCAGCAACACTAATACTGTTAAAAAGACTATTAGTTAATTCTTATTTCTTCCTTTTAGTTTCTGGTAGATATACCCACTAAAAGGAAGAAATAAGAAGCTACTAAGAGTAGGGGTGGGCAAAAACTGGCCCAAACCGATCAACCCGACCCGACCCAACCCGACCGGGTTGGGTCGGTTTTTTTTCAGTTTTTCCATCGGTTCGGTCGGTTGGTAGGGTGAAGTGGGTCGGGTTGCGGGTTAGCCCACCCCACCCGATCAAAACCGACCCAACCCGACCCGCCAATTAATAAAAAATAATAAAAAAAGGGTAAAACTTTAAAAGCAAGAAAAACCAGTCCTATGGCTCTGACATTAGCTGGAAAAGCAACTAGTTTGGCTAGAAAGAACGTGCAATTACTTATGAAATCCCCATAATGCCCTTATTTATGTAGATTTGCAATTTGAGTAGAGGGCAAAACCGGAAATGGAATGCAATGGTCAAAATGGTTGAATCTATGCACTGACACAAGCATTTGAAGTCTTTCAATTTTTTCCATTAATTTCACTGTAGAATTTCTCTCCAAGAATGAAAGGGGGCTTCGTTCCCACAATCCCACACTTTTATCCGCCGACGTCGTCTCTGTTAGTCCCTTCGTCGGCGTCGCAAAGTTCCTGTTGAAAAATGGGGAAAAAACGGGTGTCAAACATTTCCCAGTAACCACTCTTTTATCTGCTGACACTAGTTCTCTCATCTCTGTGAGTCCCTTCGCTGGCGTCTCCCTTCGCCGGTGTCTCTCTTCGCTGAGATCTTCAAGGTAAGTTTTCAATTTATTTATTGTGGGATTGTTTAATTAATTTGTTGTTTAAATGAATAAATTGAAACCAAGACCAACTCTCATTAGCTTCATATGTTTGGATGTTCGCAGCTCATCTAGAGATCTGATAATATGGACACAGATACAGACACGGCAACGGCTACAGCCACAGGTGCACTTCTCTTGTTTAATATGGATTGTTTAATTATTATGTGTTGTTCTGTACTTCTGTTGTTCTGTTTAGTGGATGTTGAATAATGGGTAGAATTTATGTTTGCTTGCAGCCTTGCACAGTCCATTATCTAGTTAGTAGTAGTGACTGCTTGTGTGTCTTCTAAAGATAACTAATTTCATTATGTAGTGAATGTATTCTATGTAGTGAATATTATTAGTGACGTGAAGTGCTTTGTTCTAACTAATTTCGTTAACGTGAAGTGCTTTGTTATGACTTATGTAGTGAATATTATTAGTGAAGTGATTGTGTTTTTCTGCTTATGTGCATTTTTAAGATTGCATTACTGATTTATTTCCTTAAACAGTCTATAGATTCCTCTATTAATAAAAATTATTGATCCAAACCGCCCAACCCAACCCTACCCGACCGACACATAATTGGGTTGGGTTGGGTTGTGGTTCGACATTTACATGGGTTGGATTGGGTTAAATTTTGAGCAACCCGACAATGTTGGGTTTGGGTTGGGTTGGGACAAAAACCGACCCAACCCAACCCACGCCCACCCCTACATGCTTGATTCTCATAAAACAATTGAAGTGGAAAGTGGATGAAAACTTACAACTTTCAATTCCTAATTTAGAACTGAATGGATAGACTCAGAATCAACTTTTTGATAAAAAAAGATAAACATTCTTTCCCCCAATAGCATAGAATGGTGCGTGAGCTTCTTCAATTTTTCATTAATTTCCTAGCTCAAGTTGAGAATCTCGAATTTTCATCTAGATACTCTCAATTATTTTTATCTATATTGTTTATTTTACTA